TATGTTCGTACGTACGTATACGATAGAGAGGTGCATTTTTAAATCAAATTCTTGTGGTAATTCTTGTGGTAATTCTTGTGGTAATTCTTGTGATAACGATAACGATAACTGTTAATCAAGTGATTATTTTTTTTTTCAAAAAAAAACGGAAAATCTTTACGCCACATAAAAGATCAAATCCAGTTTTTTGGTTTATTTTACTCGCTTAATATGTTTAGCACTTTGTTATATTGTGTTATTTTGTGTTATATTGTTATCGTTATTGTGATATCATAACGTCATGTACTGTATGTCCGAGGTTCAGGAGATTTTAATTACAAATTGCAGAATCAAAGAATTCGCGATCCTCTGGCATGCACGACATGAATCATTACTCATAAAGAAGTTTTCAGAAGTTTTAAGATGCTTTAAGATGTTTTAAGAAGTTTATACAGTATAATACAATAAAACAACGGCTTCTTTTTAATTTTTGCAAGCAATTGAGTTATTGTACGTTTAATAAAGTAATATATTACAGTAATAAAATAAGCAGATAATAAATAAAGTTGTTGTAATAATTTGGAAATCCTACGTAATACAATATGATTTAATAAATTTTATAGGTGTTTTTTTTAATGCATAATGGTTTCGCGATTTTTTATATTAGGAAAACAAAATCAGGATCGTGTAAACTTTAATAAAAAAAAATTAAAAATATTCATTGATCATAAATAAGTCGCGATCAATTATAACGCGTCGGTTGATGTCCTTATTAAAGAATTATTGATTATTGATTATTAATGTTTATTAATGGTTAATGATTGATATTTTCGATTATCATCGATCATACATCTTCCTTTCGTGGGAATCCCGGCTTTTTTGTGTATCTAAACTCCCTCAATAATCCTCAAATAATCCTCAAATAATCCTCAGATAATCCTCAAATAACGCTTTCAAATAATCCTTTCGTGTTTAGATATTGTTTGCAACTGTTTCTTTGATTGTACACATGTGTATGTATGCACATACATGACTGATATTAATCTTTGTAATCTTTTGTAATCTTTTGTAATCTTTTATCTTTTGATGACAAATAAAAAAAGCAATGGCTGATCTTAGAATGTATCGAAATTGTACTCACATTTTAAAAGAAAATCTGGAATTTAGAATTTAGAAGATAAATTATGTCGATAATTATGTCGATAATTATGTCGATAAATTATGTCGATAATTATGTCGATAAATTATGTCGATAAAATTTTAAAATTCTGTAAATTCTGTAAATTCTGTACGTAAGTACGTAAATCAAGTTTAACTAACTGCTAACCTACGTACGTATTAACTAACCTACGTATGAAGATGTATGAAGATTAACATATTTATGTACATATTTTAACTTTTTATTAACTGTTAATGTTAAAGTTTCAATCAGTTCTAATGACCCTGCTTTTTTATTATAATTTCCATATTTGTATAAACACTCGCGTTATTTTTTTTTATCTGTTACATGATGATCCCAAGCCAAACTGGAATAACGCCACGTTTACAAATCTATTAATAGCCTTGTTGCCTTTTATGGTTTAGTTTCAAAATAAAAACAAACAAAGCGATAATTATTTTTAAGCATTTACACAAACATAAGGCCGAGAGTAGAAGTACAAAAATGTAAAAGTCTAGAAATTTGTAAAAAGTAGGTAAGTGATTGTTAGTAATAGTAATTCGAATAATTTATAGCATTTTTATTGCATTGCAAAGTATTTTTAAGCATTTTTAAAGCATTGCAAAGTATTTTTAAGCATTCATAAGCATTTATAGACTTAAACTACCAAAACTGAAAAGCATACAGTATTATTTGATACATATGTCATTGAAATCGTATGCAAATAATAATAACTTTTAATTCTGTACTTAAAGTAAATATGTAACGTATGTCGATGGATTAATCCAGTATTATCATTCAGCATTATAGTTTAGCCTACGTATAGTTTCAGTATATATTATACGTAGTGTATATATTATAGTTTAGCATTATATATAATTATATATCATTATATATCATTATATATCATTATATATCATTATATATCATTATATATAATTATATATAGTTAAGTCATTCTAGTTTTTAGGTAATCACTGGCAATTCAATAAATAATAAATATATATATATATAGTTAAATTGTGATATATAATTAGTAATAGCTTTTATAGTTTTTAGGCATTTAAACAATCAGATTGTTATTTATATAATTAGTAATCTATAACTTTTAGGTTATTCTATATATATATACTATAATAGTTTTAGGTTTTTAAATTTAATATTTTAAACTTAATACTTTAAAATTTAATATTTTAATACGTATTAATAAATATTTTAATACGTAAGATACGTACGTATAATACATGTAATACAATGCTATACTTAATTTATTTCATCTATTTAACAAAATTACTATTTATCCGCTTTTTATTGTCCATGGGGCCTTCGAGGTAAAAATGAAGAATAAAAATGAAACCTGATTGAATAACTTTAATGACTTGATAACATTAGTATATTATAGAAAAAGATACCATGAAAATCTGTTAAAAGAGATTGATGAAATCGGATTACTCCGTGAAGTTCATGAAATTCAATGACGAAATCAATGAAATCAAAGAAATCAAAGAATCTAAAGAATCTATAGAATCCATAGAACCCATGGAACTACATCAACGGTGTTAAATTACCGTATATCATAGCGATTGACAAAAAAAAAAGATGAACGTAATTACATCATCTTTTAATGACTAGTATGATTAGCAATGAAAAGCAAAACTAGTATTAATTAATTCTTTTTTGATTCATTGGAAATGTAGATTAAAAAAATTATATTCTTACTCGTGGTTGCCGCTCACTTTGGGAATTAGGATGACCTAACTGTCACATGTAAGAACAGCTTTAATATCTTTAATATATACAATCATTAAACATTTAGAAAGGCATCTATAAAATACTGTATTTTAAAAATGATCAGTTAGTGAGATTGTTAAAAAGGAAGTATCGAGACGCCATCTATTTTTATTTTAATTTTTTATTAAGAAAAAAAATTTCATTCATCACAACTCACTAAATCATTACAATCATAACAATCACTAAAATCATTAAAATCATTACAATTCATTTAGAACTTTACAATTTCATTTTATAATTCATCACAACTTACTTATAATCTATTTTACAATTTCATCACAACAATTTCATCACAGTTTCATCACAATTTATACACTTCATCACAATTCATACACTTCATCACAATTCATTCAAATTTAGATCATATAATAACGAACCTTCCTTTAAAATATATGCTTGTTAAAATAAAATTCACGCCAAGACGGTATAAATAATAAAAATGCCCCAAAGAAATTTCAATGAATATATTCAAAGAATATTCAGAATGTTCGTTGCATAACAAGTAAATATATAGAATAGAAAAGTGCCCCCTCTTCGAGGAACCGCATACAAAGGCAACTTGGCATAAAGTGATTGGAAGTTTCTCATCCACAAGGTTTTATTATACGTTCCTCTTTCGTGATTTTTTCAAATATATGTAATGTCATTCATGTAATTCACGAGTTCTTACAGTAAAAAAAAAAATATTTTCTTCAATTACTAATTTTAAATGCTAATTTTAAATGTTAATTTTATATGCCAATTTAAATGCCAGTTTGAATGCCAATTTAAATGCCACCAATTTTATATGCCAATTTATATGCCAATTTAAATGCCAATTTTATATTCCAATTTTATATGCCAATTTATATGCCAATTTTAAATGCCAATTTTATATTGCCAATTTTAAATCTCGAGTGATATAAGCCACTCACATGATCCGTGCCTCACAACTTGTGTTACACGACGAAAAATGAAAGTGGGCTGTGTGACTGCATATCTTCACATATGTATTTATTTTTTCACTGACATGAATAAGTCATAATAATAATAACAATAATAATAATAATAATACGTAATAAGTCGTGGATAAAAAAAAAAGATGTGCGAGGCATCCGCAAACAACCGCGCCTCTTCAAAATATGGCTCCGTGTTTAGCCGTGTATAAGTGAATTGGTTATGGTAAAAACCTATTGAGTCGTGAATTTCACGGATTGGGATAATTGTAATTGGATGAGTGGGTGAGTGACAAAATATCAAAATATCAAATTATCATTATTATCATTATCATCATAGTAATTATCAAATTACAGTAATTACAGTAAATTATATCATACGTACCAGATACATACTGTACAAGAAATCTTGGTAACGTAAAAATTTAATAAAACGAAAAAATTTTATTCAAAAAGAATTATTACTAGTTCTATTACTGGTATTTTTTCCAGTTTTACTTTTTATAAAGTTAGTAAAAAAAAATTTTTTTAAAATACTTGTTATCGTTCTTGATAAATAAATTAAATAAATTAATAACTATATAAATTTATATTAAAGCGATTGGCCGAGTGTTTATCATTGATAATTTTGATATTGTTTTACTATTTTTCTTTTGTGTTTTATTTTAAAAAATAATATATTTGTCGATATTATCCTTTTTCTGGTGGTTTCAATTGCTACCCCTGATACTTTTTTGTTTTACAATAAAATTATATGTTCATTGATATTGGTTTTTTCTACTACCAAATGAAATATACGTTTAATAACAATTTTAGTAGTACAATTCCTGTTTTGTTTCCTGCCGGAGATTGATTTTTTGGCATTCGTTGGACAGAGCCACAAGGATAACCAATCTTAACATAAATATAAAATACACCTTTGTTTGGCCTTTTTTTTTTTCCTTTAGAAAAAAATTTCTCAAGTGGCCTAAATCCTCCCACTATCTCCTCTTCCTTTCACGCAATTTTTTATATATAAAAAAAAAAATATATACATAAAAATTCGACGGGGAATTTTTTTTAAATTTCATTTATTATTATATTATAATATCATATATATATATATATTATTCTCTAGAAGAAAACGAAACGTAAAAATGTCTCCAAGAAATAACTACTACGAGGAAAATATTGCTAGACTGCCGAAGGCTTTACGGCCTCTTGCACAATTTATGGTTACACCGCTGGTAGATCCAAGAAAACAACAAGAGTCAATACTTTCAAATCCATTTGCTCTATTTACTTTTCTTACCAAGAAAAAAGTTCAACCAAAAGTTTTTATGTCCTTTAAAAACTTTAATGATATTCCAATTGAATTTCTTGCAATGATTTGTAAACACCTTGAACCAAATGAGCTTTTTATCCTATCAGGAGTATGCAAAAATTTAAGAACTCTTTTGTTGGATACTGAATCTCCAGCTACACAAGAAATTTGGAGGAATTCACGACTTGAGTTTTGCCCATTTTTACAACTTTCTCCTCCCAAAGGAATGCAGGTTTGTACAAATTTAATTAAATTTTTATAATTTAAATTTGAAATTTAACCAACGTCAATGAGGTTATTAATAAACTCTTTTAAAATTTTAAAAAAATTTAGGAACAAGAATACATTTCTCTTTGTTCGACGGAGAGAGGTTGTCAATTTTGTGGCCAAAGAAAACAATGGGTAAAAGTTTATTGGCAATTTAGAGTCCGTGCTTGTTATGAATGTTATCTACCAAGATTCGTCCGGTAAATAATGTTTTTATTCTTCTGCTTACAACTCCTTACACCATGTTTATTTATGTTTGCCATCGCTATTGACCTTATTTTATCTTATTTTATCTTTTAGAAATTCATATCTAAGCAAATGCCCCAAAAATTTCGAAAATAAAGAGGAGATCAAACTGCGTGAACATTATGACCGTCGAAGATTAGAACACACAATCAGCTTTAGAAAAGAACGACTTCAAGAGATAATCGAAGAATTTGAAGCTGAACGAAAAGAATCATCAGATGGTTCAGATAATGAGAGTATTCATTCAAACTCTTCAAACTCTTCAAATTCTTCACCAAAATATGATGCACAACTTCTTAGAAAATGTCCGATAATCTCTGCTGAATGGAAAATGTTTGACCAACCTTTTACAAGCCGCGACCAAACAAGATTCCGAAGAAAGCTTGATTATGAGTATCAAATCTTGGCAAAACATTATGTTTCATAAATTTTATTTTATTATAAACTTTTAAAAAAAATCAAAAAAAAAAGAAAAAAAAAAGAAAAAAAATTTTTTACATTTATTTTTTATTATTCCCCCCTTTTTAAGTTTCTTTATAAGATGCAAGCCATCGCCCACAAAAAAAAAAGAAAAAAAGAAAAGATTGTGGACGTTGTAATTTCAAAAAAAAAGACATTTTGTTTTGTGAATGTTCATACAATAATTCTGCAACGCATCGTCCTTAGACCACTTCATATAATTTCAGTATTATATATAGCATATAATGTATACATTATAATTATTTTTTTTTTTAAATTTGGGAAGGTTTTCGTTTATTTTCAACATTTTATTTTTCTTTAGTGACGCGCGAGTGTTTTGTTGACTCTTTGGTTCATTTGGTTTTTTTTTTTCGCTTCCCTATTCATATTATACATTTATATTATACTATAAAGGAGAACGTGTGGTTTTACTCAATACATTTTTTTTTTACACTTTCTTGTTAAATAGTTTTTTTTTCTTTTTATTTTTTTATATATTGTATCATTTTTTTTTCGAATTATGGTATAAATAATTTCCTGTAACATAAATCATTATTCGTAACTTTTTTGTTGCGTATAATCAAAAAAATGTTTATCTATGCCATGATTTTAAAAAAAAAAAAAAAAAAGGAAAAAAAATTTTTTCTTTTTTTTTTTTTTTTTTTGTGGGGTCGGTCGTTTGCGTCGCTATACGTATTTTTTTCTAATAAAATAAGAAGTTGCTTCGTCATTACTGCTATCATTGCCTCTTTTTCATTTGCCATTTTTAGCTAGTTGGTTTGAAAAAGTCTAAAAGTCTCAAATATTTAAATAAACGACTTCATTTCAAACGTGTGAATATTTTGAAAATATATTTGAAATTTTGAAATTATTGAAAAAAAAATTACAAAGTACCGTACCGTAAACCATGTATGTGAACTTTGGTGAACTATGTGAACTATGAAAACTATGTAAACCTGTTTTGACCTTAAAAACGTAACCGTGCGAAATGCAATGTATGCGCATATGCCGCCTTGCAGTTATTACGGTTTATAAAAAATATGCGACTGCAAGAACACAAAGTAATAGCGGTAGGCTTTTTTTTCGAAATTAAGAAAACTGGCGTTATCAAAATGCAAATAATTGCATAAGTTGGCATAAGTTCATGTCAAATTTTATTCGTTGGATATTATAATGTTCCATAGGGACCTTCTTAATAATTTTACCATAATAAGTCATGTATATATTTTTAAGTATAAATGTGTTCGTGCATGCATAAAAATTGTAACAATTTTTGGGGGGCTAAGGAGGTTAGGGTACCAAAGTACAAACGAACGAAATATTTCTTTGATCATCGTGTAATGTTCGTTACGCATGAAAAAAAAAACAATTAAAGAATTTTGAAACAAGGAAATTATATTTTTATAATTTGATAGGTTTTTTTTTTGTTCTAACGTTATCGAATGTTAAGCTTAAATTTTTTGAACACTTTTTTTTTATTGAAACATTCACATAAAACGTTACTTGATATTCTCTTATGTATTAACCTTATTTTTTTTTTTTTCTCAAGATAATCGAAAGATGTGTGAACCACTAACGTACTATTTACACTATTCACTATTTACGTATGTACAGTACTTTGTTGAGTACATAAATGAGTACATAAGTACATAAAACGTATGCCTCTTTACTTATGTAGAAACTTTACAAGTCAATCATCACCCCATAGTTTAAACCAAGTTAAATCATTCTAACTAATATTTAATCATGTTATGCTAGTCTAAACGCAATTAATATATCTCCGGATGCATGAAGATGAAATGTTTTCTTTCATTCTATCATTCTAACATTAAGTTTCTATCAGCGAACCTTTTTTGTATAATAAATCCAATTTTTATTTGATATATTTGATATATTTTATGCGTTGTATAAAAGATTTACAGAAATTTAAACTATTTTTTCTATTGTTATCATAATAGAAGTTTGAAATCCATTAATCAATCAATCATTCATTTGTTATTTATTCAAACATTTCGTAATAAAATATTTTCTTTGAGAAAGTACCCAGGAAATGGGTCCCGAGTTGCCCATGATTCGTTTTGTTGTACAAAATTGGTATTTTGTCGTTATCGTCTATTTGTATATTTGTAATTCCAACTTTCTAACAAGTTTACCGCTTAAATGAGAAATGATCACTTGTATCGGTGTTTAAAATCGGAGTTGTACTGAGTTGTACTGATGTACCGAGTTATATTTTTAGAAATTTATACGACTTTCTTGCGGCCGAAAAATTATTATTGAGAGGGAAAAACAAATGTCAGATGTATCACTCGAGCTCATTAACGTATTTGATGTTTGAACAACGATAAAGTATTTTTAAAAAAATAGGTATTTCTAATAATTTATAAATTAGGTATTTAAAATAAGCATTTATTATCTTTTAGGATAAGCATATCGCTTATCTACAATAACTCAATACGATTCGTTGCCAAAATAAACTCTAATCATTATCATTACCAAATAAACTTTATCATCATATCACGAACTTAATCATAACCACAAAAATAACCACTGCTGACGCCTATCTGATCTAATCACCTTTTTTTGCTTACCAGCATCTTTTTTTGTAAACCCAGCATCTTTTTTTGTAAAAATGGCTTTCCACACGACCTGAACCTGACTATTAACTCGGTTCCAAGTTTTTTTATTGTTCTTGGCAAATTAAAGATCACGAGAAAAAAATATATATTGATAGATGTGATTAAATTTAATCATTTTAATATTTTCAATAACTTCAATAATTTCAATATAACTTCAATATTTCAATAATTTCAAAATAATTTCATGTGACATATTCAATAAAATCACACTATGCGTATCTGGTATGTTATATCAGGTCAAAACCTAGATTATCAATCAACGCACGATCCAACAAGTTTGAGTAGACGCTTCTGGTACATACGTAAATACATGCGTATTGAGTCTCATTAAAAGTCATTTCTTGGTTTGTTTGTACGTAACGAAAAATAGTGACTAACTATTAGCAATTAAGCGTAAATTATCAAACAGGATTCTTCTTGTTTAATCGCAAGGAGGTTAGCTCGAGTTTCAAACAATTAGTTAATCGAGGTTAATTCTTGAATTCGTGAGAATACATCACCGTTTTTCTAAAGAAAAAATAGCATGTCTTCTTTTATGGATTAAATCGGACGTAACATTTTATTTTAATTTTTTTTTTGTTTTATCATTATTAAGTCAATAATTACTATTTAGAAAGTTATTGATGTCATTAATTAATAAAGATAGTTCGTAATTAGTAATTTATTTCCTGAGATGTTTTTTTTTGGACAAGTTACTCGTGTCGAGTTCTTGTTTGGACACATTTTGGGCTTCCTATTTGAATGATAATATACAGTATTTTATAAATATATATTACAAAATATATTATAAAATAACAAATTACTGGACTATCATTTAATCAAATTAATAAATCATTTTCTTATCATTAGTTTGTTTATGCCAATAAAGAAAAGATAAAGAAAAGATGTTGAAAGATAATTGATATCTAAAGATTATTTAAAAACTAGATCGGTAAAGTACGTATTGTACTTATTTGTAACTTTCAAAGAAACATGAATAAAGAAACATGAATATATTTGTAACTTCCAAAGAAACATGAATAAATTAGGTAACTTTCTTATATACTGTATAAATCAAACATTAAAAAGTACTGAAGTACCTGTATTTTTTTAACAATTGTTTTGTTTTATCTATGTCATTTTTAATGCAATGCAATTTGATTATATTTAACAAACATCTATAGATCCTTTTTAATAATCGATTTTTCGGCAAACCCGCATCACGTGACCGTAAAGTGATAAATACAGTGTTTTGTTTTTCC